TCATTATTTCCACTGTTTTTACTCGTGCTCTTCCCTCCCCCTGATTTTCTGTTTCTTCTCTGCCCAATATATCATGTCCTAATCGGTATATTATTCGTTAATGTGATGCATTTAATTTATGCAAAAATATGTTTAATTTTTTGTGTTTTGTTTTTTTTCGGCTTTGTTCCTGTGTCTGTTTCTTGGGTTTGTGTTTTTCTTTCCCCCCTCACCCTCACTCCCTCACCCCCCCTCCCTCCCTCCCTCCCTCCCTCTCTCTCTCTCTCTCTCTCTCTCTCTCTCTCTCTCTCTCTCTCTCTCTCTCTCTCTCTCTCTCTCTCTCTCCCCTCACCCTTCTATTTCTCCCCTCACCCTGTACCCATTCCATTCTCTGCAGTGTATCTATGTCTCTCCATCCACCTCTTCCCTTCGCCTATCCTTCCCCTCCCTCACACTCTCTTTCTCCCCCTGTCTCTCATTCATTCCTACCATCTCTCTCTCTCGCTTCCATCAAACCCCTCTTTATCTCCCCTCTTCTATCGCCCCCAATCTCGTCACCTCCCCCAACCAGGATTCTAGAAAGAAGAGAGAAGAAAAAAAAGGAGGGAAAGAGGAGGAGAGAAAATAGGGGAAATCAGAGAGGGAAGAGAGGGGGAGAAGAGAGGCGAGGAGACGAGCGAAAAGACGAGGATGGCAGGGTATGAGGATGGAGGGGGAGAAGGGTTGTAAAGAAAGGAGTGAGAGTGAAAAAAGTGGATAAGCGAAGAGCGAAGAGGTGGGAATAGGAAAGAAGAATGAATCCGGAGAGGAAAGGAGAGGAAAGGAGAGGAAAGGAAAGGAAAGGAGAGGAGAGAAGAGTGACAGAGTAGCAGACGAGATGAGAGTCAGAGAGGGCAGGAGAGGAGAGACGCGAGCCCAGGGTACGTGCGGCATGCCCCAATTAACCCTGCAGGCGCGGTATTGCCCACATTACTGACATTATCTTGTCTCACCTGTTAGCATTCTGTCCCGCCAACACTACACACTTGTCTTGCGCCCGTTCTCTCTTCTCCGTCCACCACTTCCTTTTTTTATTATCATATCCTCTCCTCCCCTTATCCCTATCTCCCTCTCTCGTCTACTACCTCCTCTTCATCCCTCTTTCTCCCCCCCTTCACACATCTCCATCCCAATCACTCCCCATCCCTCTCCCTCCTCCGTTTATTCCTCTCCATCTTCCCTCCCTCTCTCTACCTCCTTCCTCCCCCTCCTCTCCCTCCTCCCTTTCACCCCTTTTCTCCACCACCTCCTTACCCCCCTCCCCCCCTCATCCTTAACCCTTAAGAGGCCACCTTCCCCTAGCATTAGGAGGAGAAGGTGCACATACGCCCATATTTGGGTGGTTTCGCCTCGCACACACCTATAGTCAGGCTGTCCCCCTTTCTCTTCGGCCTGCCATCCACAACACCGAATAATGATTAATGGTGATAAATTAGAAACAATGGGGATGAGAGGATAAACACAAATTAAGAAACTCCAGGCAAAGAACAACAGAAAAAAAAACATGTACGCAACCACGAGAAAAAAAAATACAACAAACTCAAAACATGTATAACGGAAGAACAAAAGAATAACGAAAATAAGAACAACAACAACGGCAATAACAACACCATCAATGAAAAAAGAGACCAAAGGGAGATAGAACAGCCACAATGCAGAATAATTCGCCCATATTTCATCCCTTACACAAACACCTCGCCAGGCTCACCCATAGCAATGAATAAGAGAGCGACGGACAAAAATAACAAACGCATAGAAAACGAATATAAAAAAAAATCCCCCATCAAATAGAAAACGGAGAAGAAGAAGAAGAGGAAGAAGAAACAAGAAGACAAAGAAACAGGAAGAAAAAGGAGAAGAAAAGGAAAAAAAAACAAAGAAAAAGAAAAAGAAAAACAGAAAAGGGATAAAAGAAAACAAACGAAACAAAAGAAGAAGAAAAAAAAAGATAGCGAAAATAAAACCCCCAATTCGCCTACGTCACGCCATCCCGCAGCATGTATGTAAGTTATCCGAACCGAATCATATCTGACTTTCCGATCGCCAGTTTACACGGACGACTTAACCGGACTCGCCATCAGCATGACTGGACACACGGTAATCATGACCCGGATACGGTAATCATAACCGGACACATTGTAATCGCAAAAGGACAACGCGGTAATCACGGGAATGCCAACCGGAAACATTAATAAGAAAGGCGCCGATACAATATAATAAAAGAACACACCGTCCGGGATAAACACAAAAAAAAAGAATAAAAAATAAAAAAATAAATATATATATAAAAAGTAATCCGCACAACAACCGTAACTGATGATTTCCTCTCTCTCTCTCTCTCTCTCTCTCTCTCTCTCTCTCTCTCTCTCTCTCTCTCTCTCTCTCTCTCTCTCTCTCTCTCTCTCTCTCTCTCTCTCTCTCTCTCTCTCTCTCTCTCTCTCTCTCTCTCTCTCTCTCTCTCTCTCTCTCTCTCTCTCTCTTCTCTCTCTCTCTCTCTTTCTTTCTCTCGCTCTCTCGCTCTCTCTCTCTCTCTCTCTCTCTCTCTCTCTCTCTCTCTCTCTCTCTCTCTCTCTCTCTCTCTCTCTCTCTCTCTCTCTCTCTCTCTCTCTGACCGGCACCACCGCAAAGAACAAACTCTCGTTTAACCGGATCCGTGCAATTCGCGCAAAGTCCGGTAATGAATGCAAAATCCCTTTGCCTGAGTGATTTTCAGCCTCATTTACCGGACGCCATCGTCTCTCTCGCGGCCGAAAACGCGTCTTTTAACCGAACCTAAAACACACTCCATATTAAATAGACGTTTCTACGGCAACGACCTTTTTCACATTTTTTCTTTTTCTTTCTTCTATTTTTCTCCTACTCCGCCGCCGCCTCCTCCTCCCCCTCCTTCCTTTCCTTTCCTTCTCTTTTTTTTCTTTTTCTTTTTCTTCTTCTTCCCTCTTCTCCTCCTCCCCAGAACAGCTTGTTCTCCGCCGCGACCGGACACCTGTTAACCGGACGAAGAAGGGAGGAGGAGGAGGAGGGGGGGGGGGGGGGGAGGGGGAGGGGGAGGGGGAGGAGGAGAAGGAGGAAGAGGAGGAAAAGGTGGAGGAAGAGGAGGAGGAGTAGAAGGTGGAGGAAGAGGAGGAGGAGTAGAAGGTGGAGGAAGAGGAGGAAGAGGGGAAGAAGCAGAAAGAGGAGAAGAAGCAGAAAGAGGAGGAGGAGTAGGAGAAGAAAAAGAAGAAGAAGGAGGGGCATAGAGACGGGAGAGGAGGGGAGCAAAAGGCGGGTTGAAGGGGAAGGGATCAAGAGCGCAGAGGATGAGTAATGAGGAACGAAGTGTGAGTGAGTCGAAACCCGCCCCGCGTCACTCCTCACACTTCCACCAAGAGGAGACGAGATAAGCTAACCCTAATCGTTTTGCTCCTCGTTTTCCTCCTCACACTCTTCTCTTCCCCCTTTTTTTCTCTCTTCTCATTTTCCCCTACTCATCCTCTTCTACTCTCTTCTTCTCTCATCTCATCTCTTCTTTTCAAGTTCAAATATCCCTTACTCACCCCCCCCTTCCCTATCTATCTTCTCTTCTCTTTTTCTTTTTCTTCTTCTTCGTCATCATCCTCCTTTTCTTCTTATTTCTCCTCTTCCCTTCCCCGTCTCCCTCCCCTCTCCTCTTATTATTATTTCTCCCTCTCCCTTCCTCTTCTTCCCTCCTTTCCCTCTCCCCATCCCTTCCTCATTCTCCTCTCTCCTCCCTCCTCTTGTTTCACCTCCCCCCTTCCTCTTCTCCCCCACCTCCCTCTCCTCTCCCCCCATCCCCCTCCCCACCTCCCTCTCCCTCTCCTCTCCCCATCCCCCTTCCCACCTCCCTCTCCCTCTCCTCTCCCCCTCCCCCACCTGTCTCCCCCTCCCTTCCCCCCCACCTCCCTCTCCTCTCCTCTCCCCCCATCCCCCCACATCCCTCTCCCTCTCCTCCCCCCCTCCCTTCCCCCACCCCCACCTGTCTCCCGCCGCTGCCGCATGTTTACTGATGTCCCGCATAGGGCCGAGGCGCAAGGACAAGCCACCGCGAGTTGGGCGGGGCGATGGAGGAAGAGGGGGGGATAGGTAGGAGAGGGGAGGGGAGGGGGGTAGGAAGGAGGAGGAGGAGGGGATAGGAAGGGGTTAGGAAGGAGGGGGTGGGGATACGAAGGAGGGAGAGGGGATAGGAAGGAGAGGGAGGGATTAGGAAGGAGAGGGAGGAAAGGAAGGAGGAGGAAGAGGAGGAGGAGGGAAGATAGGGGAGAGGAAGGAGGTGAGGGAGGAGGAAAAGGAGGAGGGAGGGAAGATGGAGGAGAGGAAGGAGGAGGAGAAAGAGAAGTGACAGAAGGGAGAGGAAGAAGGAATATAAAAGAAAGCGGTAGAGAAAGAGAACATGAAAAGCCAGGACGAAGAGAGGAAGAGAACAAGGACGAAGTGGCATAACACACTCGTCAACAGGAGCTTCCCTCCCCGCCCCCCCGTTCCTATCCCCCCTCCCTCCCTCCCTCTTTCCCCCCCCAACTCCCCCCTCCCCCAATTTCTCCTCCAACCTAAACTTAACGTAATGTCTAACGCTTAAGTGTGTGTGGTTACCGTGTCAAGAGGTGGCTGTGGCGACGGCAGGGGAAGAGGATGATGATGATTACGGGGAACAGGAATAAAATATAATAAAGATAAGGAAAGAGAGAAAAAAAATAGATTCCGATGAGGACGATGACGAAGGGTGAGAAAATGTAGGAGAGCGGAGAAATAACTTAAGAGAGATTATAGGAGAGAAGAGAAATAATAATGAAAAACGAAAATGGAAGCATCAAGACCAAAAGATATATAAAAGGATACAGATAATAAAGAGAGGAAGTCTAAAATCAATAAAAAATGAATCAACAGTACATCAAATAAACAAGCACACAAGCCCACGCAATCGGCAAACCACCAAACAAACAAAATCATCAACAAAACCTATTTCTAAATGTTAAAAAAGCCCGATGAAGCCTCAAGTCTCATCCTCGCCTCCGCTATCACCTCCGCCGCCGTCTTCGTCTTCTTCGTCGTCGTCGTCGTCGTCATCACCGCCATCGTCTCCACAGTCGCGGTGGTGGAGGTGGAGGTGGAGGTGGAGGTGGTAGTGGTGAGGTGATGGTAGTGGTTGTGGTGGGGGATAGTGGTGATAGTGGTGATGGTAGCAGTGGTAGTGGTGATGGTAGCAGTGGTAGTGGTGATGGTAGTAGTGGTAGTGGTGATGGTAGTAGTGGTGGTTGTGGAAGGAGCGATCGCCGGCCCGTCTTTCCCATACTTAGCAACCAGAACAAAGATATAGGCGGGGGTTGGGACAGCGGGCGGAGAGGGAGAGAGCGAGAGAGGGATAAAGGGAGGGAGGAACGGAAGCGAGGAAGGAATAGAAGAAAGGGAAAAAAGGGAGGAATGGAAGAAGAGAAGGAAAAGAAAAATGAGGAAAGAGAGGAAAAGGGAAAAGAAGAATGGAGAAAGGGAGAGAAGGAAGGAAGAGAGAAAAAGAGGAGGACAGAGAGAAGGAAGGGTGGGTGAGAGAAAGGGCCGAGAGGAGGGCAGGAGGGAGGGCGGGGAAGGCAAAGGAAAAGGGGGGGAGAGGAGGGGAAGAAGGGGGAGGAGGGTCAGGGAAGAGGGCAGGCGGTGGAAAAGGCAAAGGAACCAGACTGAGCATCCAGCAGCGTCAACAACGGCGACGACGGCGGCCCATCGACAACCGAGACGAGAGCGAAAGAAAATGAGAGACAGAAAAGAGAGAGAAAGAAAAAGAAAAGAAAAAAAAAGAATAAAATCCTCCATGGATCGTGGGCTCGCAGGAGAGCTGGCTTAAAAAGATAATGAATCGTTCGTGACGACCGCTCGAGTTTCCCCCGCTTAAAAATCGCTGTTAACCAACACCGGAGGAAAACGCCAATCACGGTATTTACAAGACGTGGCAGCAGCAGCATTATCAGCCCCCTCCCCTTCTTCCTCCTCCTTCCCCCCCGCGTGTCCCGACCCCCTCCTCTGTCCCTGCCCCCCCCCCTCCCCTCCGAAGCCAGCTACCGTCCGGGAGCGACGCACTAAAAGGTAAGCAAGTGCGTGTGGAGGGCGCTTCCTAAGCACCGAAACCGCCGGCTTAACAAGGGTATGGGCAAACGAGCGTCGAATGTAGTTAATACCAGGGCCAGGTGGAGGGTTCGCGGGCTCCCCCAGCCGGAGGTACCTCCCCTCGGCACGAGAAGCGAGCATGAGAAACTTTTGTTAAGAATGTGGCCGCTAAAACTCTTCCCAAGCGCCGCCAGCCGCCCCATCTTGCCGGCCTTTATTCTCGACGGCGGGGGGGCGCACGCCGCTCGGGCCTCCGCCAGCGTCTCCGCCAGGGCGTCCCGTAGCCCGCAAAAATACGCCGGAGTCGGCCGCGAGAGGCTGCGACGCTGCACGGAATAATCCATCTTGTACCTCCGTCAGCCGGGGCGCGGGGCCGACGCGCGGGGGAGAGCACACCAACTCTAGTGCTGCCTCTGTGCTTTATGACGGCCTGAAGGGCGGATCCCACGCCCATACGCCCGTCATAATGACCGCCCTTTTGTCCACGCGGCCCGACGGCCCAAAGTCCTGTGCGCGGCCTCCGGCCCGAGGGTTACGCCGGCCGGAATGTCGGGAGGCCTACAGGCAAGGCAGCAAGAGCGGCTCTGGCGGACAAGTGACAATCATTTGACGGTTCTCGTGGCAAGATAGAGCTAAGCGGATCACGATGTTAAAGCCCCCTAATGTGGGATTTAATCATTAGATTTTCGACTCGGACGCGCGCCCGCCCTTGCGCCTGTGACGCCCCGCTCGACCCTCATTATGGCTGGGCGTGGAGACAGCCATACAATCCACTGTAGACTGTTCCTCATTATTCCCATTTCCTGGGCGCTGCTGCGGCTGTGGCTGCACTCAGGCCTCATCATCAAGGCAAACACGCCGCTCTTTGCACATGTCACCGCGGCTGTTGGCGGAGGGCCGTCGCCGCCTCCGTCACCAGCAACAGCATCACTCGCACTGGGCACTTACCCTTCAGGTGAATGGGGGATCACCTGAGTCAAAGCCGGAGTCAAAGGCCAGTGCCTCCACCCCCACCCCCCCAACTCCACCCCGCTCGCAAATACACATACAAGAATCACTCAATAACTAACACAAAGGGATTTCATCTCCATCTAGCAACCCATCCTGTATATCCCTCTCTCTCCCTCCCTCCCAATCACACCTTCCATCCCTCCCTCTCCCGTCTCCAGTCTCCCCTCTTCCCTCCAACCCTCCCTCCCTCCCTCCCTCCCTCCCTCCTTCCCCTTCCCTCCACCCCGCCCCCCGCCCCGACGTTCCCTCCTTCACCTGCGAAACTGTTTGCCGACACCTCTTTCCCTCCCCCTCTGCCCGGGCCGGCCTCGCTCGCCCTCGCTCGCCCGCAGATGCAAATAAGCCGATAACGACGACGGGGCGCTGGAGTGCGTGGCCGAGCGCTGAGGACGCGAGCAGAGTCAACAGAAATGCTGGAGGTTTCGCTTCTCGTGTTAATTGCTCCGCGACGAAGGCCCGGGCGGAGAAGATGCCACACACCACGGGAGGCGAGGGGCGAGAGAAAGAGGTGCATGGGGGGGGGGAGAAAGATTATATATGTGTATATATCTATATATATATATATATATATATATATATATATATATATATATATACACAAAGAGAGAGCGAGAGAGAGAGAGAGAGAGATAACAAACCCAGCGAGTGACAGATGAAAACAAAACTATACAAAGCGGCAGATATGCTGAAAAAGTGGAGAGAGAGAGAGAGAGAGAGAGAGAGAGAGAGAGAGAGAGAGAGAGAGAGAGAGAGAGAGAGAGAGAGAGAGAGAGAGAGAGAGAGAGAGAGAGAGAGAGAGAGAGAGAGAGACCGGGACGTATCTTTCGCCCAGCAGCTCTCCTCTTCTCCCTTTCAACTAGCCAACAACCCTCAGTCTGCCCTCCTCTGCTCCTCCTCCTTTTACCCTCCCTCCGCCCCCCCTCCTCCCAACTTCAACCGCTTACTTTTGTCAATATTTCTCCTAATATAACATCCATAACCGTGCTTGCGGCGGCGGGACCGCAGGAGCGACGGCCGCAAGTGGACGCGGAGGGGCGGCCGGCGGAGCAAGCGACACGAAGGGCGACGTCATCCGCGCCCGAACAGTATCGACAATCGTATCTGCAAAGAGTCGCTGAATACATTTCTTTAATGAAGGATCTGGCGGTATTCTGCTCGTGTGGCAACACTGTCAGTGGTGGGTGCCCAAGTAAACGTTACCAGCCGCCCCCCCCTCGCTCTCCCGTACCTTCCCCGTCCCTCTCCCCCCTCTCTCCCCCGTGCGACTGTCCCTCCCCTCCCTCTGTCCCTCCTCCCTGCGGCCGTCCCTCCTTCCTCCCTCCCTCCCTCCCTCCTCACCCACACCTCGCATACATAACGTTTGTGCGCCATTTTTACTAATGGTATTTCGTGCTCGCTCGTCCCTGCCAGGCAGCCGAGGCCTACGCTGGTTGCGCTCGTCCCCGGGGCCCCTTCGCCGCCTGCATCGCCTCGCCTCCCGCAGGTCAGGCAAGACTCCCGGCCGATAAAAATGGCGTGAAGAATGTGGTAATCCGGCAACTGTGTCCCCCCGCCACCACCTCTGCCCTGACCGTGGGTAGCCCCCTCATAACCTACAACATTGCCAACTACCGTGCCCACATTTATCAACACAATGCACTTACCTCCATTACCTTGCAAAAAGCGACCCGCCGACGACTGCGAGCAACACCTGGCGACGCGCTGTCACGAACGGAGACCCGGATACGCGGCGGCGGGCCACGCGAGGCCGCTCAACACGCCGGAGACGCGGCCGAGGAAAAGCGGGGAGGCCGCAGAGGGCATCAGCGGGCCAGAGCTTCGCACTCGGAATATGTCTGGAGTCTAGTGGTGTCGAGGTGGAATCATTTCCCCCGCGGGTGTCGAGGTGATTTCATTTCCCCCTCTTCCCCCTCCTCCCCCGTCCCTTTTATCCAAGCCTCTCCCCCCTCCCCCTTTCTCTCCTCCTCCTCCTCCTCCTCCTCCTCCTCCTCCTCTCACCCCCTCATCACCCAGTAACGAGCGTCGTCCACCTAAAAAGCAAACACGCGGCGCAAGAAGAAAAAATCGAATCCCAGCAAACGCGAGGGGCGATCCTTCCTCCTGCGCCGATTCCTCGCGGGACAAAGCGAATAACCCGGTCCATTCCTCCAGTAATGTTTGACGAGGAGGAGTGTGTTGTCAGGAGGAGGAGGAGGAGGAGGAGGACCGGCCGAGAAGGACCCCTACACCTTCCTTCTCAATTCTCCCCTCGCCTCTGTCCTACCCCCCTCCCCTTTGCTCCGTAAGATGTTGACAAGGGTGAGAGTCCCGGGTTAATAGCATACTTGCCGCCCTTCGGACAAACATTATGCACGCCGTGGGAGATGAGGTCACAAGAATCCTGCAGGATTTCGCTGTAGGTCATTGGGGGAGGACGATGATTTTGCTCATTGCAGAATAAGACTTCGCTCAACGCTCGGATCTACCTGAAGAGGCGAGAGGGACGGTCCTCTCGTGAAATGTTTGTCTCTCTCTCTCTCTCTCTCTCTCTCTCTCTCTCTCTCTCTCTCTCTCTCTCTCTCTCTCTCTCTCTCTCTCTCTCTCTCTCTTTCACCTGCCTTGCGTTCCGCTGGAAAATACGGAATACTCTTATGCGCTACAAAGAATACGCTCGAACGGAACGGTTTGTAGTGATACAGAGACGCTCAAATGTATAAACAATGACGTACACGAGCTTTTTGTTTTAAATCTCGTGTTGAAGCACATTTATGCTAGCATGAATAACAGACTTCTTTTCATCTAAACACAGCATATTTTCCACTAATAGTCCAGCAGCTAACCCTTCGAGTCAGGAATCGTGGCCTCATGTCTCTTCACATTGAACACCCTTTGCTCAACTGAACAAGTAATAAAAAAAAAGTCAAGCAGTGCCCACCAGCATTCCACTGACCTTAAAAAGTTCATATGGCAGAATCCATACTGAAAAATCTCGCGCTATAGGCCGTTCCGATGAAATGTGTGCTTCCTGGCGCTCCGGAGTGCCCAACGGAACGCCGCGCCGCTGTCCTTCTTTTGAACCAGCAGGGAAAAGGGGAAGGGGGGGGGAGCGTAAACCAACCAATGTAAGGGCTCAGATAGCTTTGCCCAGCATGTCGGCGACACTCTAGCGACTTTGGCGGAGGGAGGTAGGTAGGTAGCGAGGGAAAGAGGGAGACAGAGAAAAAAAATAGACGGGGAGAAGGAAGAGGGGGTAGGGAGGGGAGGGGAGAGAGAGGGAGGGGTGGGAGAGAGAATGACTGTCATTTGTAGTAAAGATTCTAACATGTAAATTTTCTTTCACGTATTTTTTAGACCGAGGATTTATATTACACAGCGGGTCAAGAGAGTACATGTACGGAAATTTACGGTTTCCATCCACTTCCTACAAAATTATTTGAAAGACTATACTCCTACTATTTCTTCTGCTTAAACCGTGATCTAGCTACAACGGCCTCGCAGTTCCATTGGTCATAATATATACTCACATTTCTTTTCTCTACTTCCCATCAGCTAATAAATATGGAAGTCTCTAATTCAACATTTCACTCTGTTTCAACAGCGAATTCCCCCTCCCCCCCCTCTCCCCCACCTCGCGTACACGTTCACACTCGTTACTCCCAAAACGCACTCAAACAATCTTTCCGACTTCCGACAAGTGCATCATGTCGTGGGAAATGCAGAACGAAGCGACATCATACCCGTAACATTTCCGTGGCATTTCCCTTGCCGTGCAGTCCCGTCCACCCTATTCCTGGCTGTTGACACAAGACCCGTATGGACCCCCCCCTCCCCCCCTCCTCCCTAGCGAGTCCAGGGCAGCGGAGGGGGGGGGGCGAGGAGGGGAGTCCATTACGATAAGCTTATGGTCCTACGATCCCCCTGTGCAATACAATGCAAATATCAATTGCCCGGTTACTCTTGTTGCAAAGTGATATAGCATCGCACTTGACAAACCTAGATCTGATGTAACAAAATTTAAGGGGAATTAGAAAAAAAGAAACTTCCAAGCACTCCTTCAATGTCTTTAATTTACTTCAGATAATGCAAAGGATTTTTTTCTGCCTGATAATGTTTATTCTGGAGGATTCAACTGAGCGACACTACTACTTTTAACGGTAAGGGGAAATAGTATCCATCCCATTCAACATTGTTATTGTAGAGAAACTTTCTTAGCATTTTCTGAAGCAAAGTAAAGACAGTGATTTGACAAAAAAAAAATCATTCTAATTCTTCTTCTTAAAATTTATTACGTCAGCCTTTAATAAATACATTTATTCAGAACGACCACAAACGCGTTCGAGACATCTTCTTTCAACCTATTTTCATTATATTCGAGTTCAAGTTCGGTTTACAAACAACCAGAGCCAACGACCGGTCCCTCGGTCCGTAATACACCGAACCGGCCTCCCTGATCTTGCATCCTCGCCGCTAACTGCATCCTACAGGCGGCCACTATATCCGGCGTCCCTCGCGGTGTTTTCCCTTGTCCCGACGTCCCTCAAGATGCCACGAGGAAATCCCGCTCTGGTGCTCGTGTCGCCAGGGGCGCGTGAACCAAGTGACTGCTGTTGTACTGGCTTT